CTTGCAGCAGCTAAAGCAAACTTGTGAATATCAGTTTGACTCCCCTGAGCAAGCAGTGGAGAAACAGCAGAAACATTGTCACTTCTCAGGAAAGCTTTTTTCTGGAGCTGGAAACCACGTAGTAGTAATCTGTAAAGTTAAGAATTTCAACCTCCCCTGAAAAAAAATAATTGTTGTAATGAGTTACCAAGTCTGTTTTTTTCATAACCTCATGCTGGAGATGGAGCTGGAAGCTTTCACATCTCTCCAACTTTCTCACCATTAAACTAATGGTATATGAAGGAAGAGACAAGGAAAACATTAAGAGGAAGCATTTTCCATTGCTGCAATCAATCTTAGTAAAAGAAGGAAGGGCACAGAGAGTATGGTGGTTTGGGTGGAGTAGGACCAAATTGACGACATGGGATATTGGTTACACACAACTTGGGGGGAACCCAAACACATGACACCATGAAGATGAGCACTGCCTTACAAGCAATAGGATCACGTGAGAGGTGGTAATTTATGTAATGTTCCCATAAAGAAAAAAGGCATTGGTAACATTTGAAGGTGGCAAGAGGTCTTCCTGTGTCTATGTGTCCAAATCAGTGATTTACATTTGTTAGAGTGAGCAAAACTCACTGCTACATATGCAGGTGCTGGAATGAAGTGGTGTTAGGAGACAAGAACGTAAAAATCTAAAGAGAGACAGGAAACAATGCCTGACATCTAAAAGTATTATGCTCTTTTTTTATGTGTTCTTCAGGGAAAGTAGCTGGTGTTTCCAGGACCCTGAAGTGAGAGTTACTATGGATCCATCCCACTGAAAAGCCGTCTCTGTGTTCCAAGTGGCCCACACAGTTTTCCCTTCCATGACAGACCCACCATCAGGCTCCAGCACTGTTTTACTAGAGAGTAAAGCAACCACCCTGCAGAAAATGGAGGCCTGGGAAATAGGAGGGAATGATAAATGTAGACATGAGAATTAGGACAAGTCTGAGGAAATAGTTGTCCAGAAAAATCATTGAATGCAGTGAAAACCAACAATCCAGTGGAAAGTCAGGAGTTGAAAACAAAAGAAAACCAATCAAAAAATAAAGAAAGAAAGAAAGAAAGAAAGAAAGGGAAAGAAAGAAAGAAAGAAAAGGAAAGAAAGAAAGAAAGAAAAGGAAAGAAAGAAGGAAAAAGAAAGAAAGAAAAACAAATAAAAACCATCCACCACTGGCACAACAACAAAAAAACACAGAAAGCTGACTCTGAAGCTGTGCTGCATTGGATATTTTTACCTAATCTAAATACACATCTTTTAATTTTTTTTTTCCACAATAAGTGCAGAGCATATTGCATCCTGTCAGGCTCTTAATTCTTTGCATTCTACTCTCTAATTTTGAGACTGTTGGTAAACTACAATGTTTAACCTCTAGATTAGTCAAAAAAGAAAGCAATCTATGAGAACCACAAAGTCATTAGAGCTTGTCTCCCGGCTGACCACACCAGGCTGTCATCACTGGGCAGATAACAGCAACTAACAAAATAAAAAGTTTACTTCTTCCTCAGGTTTTGTTTGGTTATTGTTTTTTGGGTTGCCTTATTCCTGCATCAGATTCCAGAAAATGAAATCAGATCAGCAAAGGCAAGGCAAAATCTGCAGAAAACGAGTGCAATCCAAATGAATGAAAAGCTTGACTTAATTCCACAGTAATTTAACAAATTTTTATAGTTATTCATTAAACACATTGTTTTCCATTTCTAATAGTGGTAGGATATACAGTTTGCTTCCACTGGTATTTGAAGTTGTGTGGAGATGGAGAATTAGTCTGGATTTTCCCTTGCTTGCTAACTTCATCATAAAGAATTGTGATCTAATACATATGCCATGACAGAGTTTTTAGGGCTGTATGATTTCCTTTACTTTACGCTGACATTGCAGAAATCAGAATGTGACTCAGCACTTTCATGTTTCCTAATTCAAAAAGTAGAATTCATTACTTAGTTTTCTGTCAAGTTTTTGTGGATATGACACAAAATTCATCAGAATTGATTTTCTGCTACTACACATTCAGTATAATCAGTTACACATGTGCAAAAGAGGCATAAAAATCCTAGAACTATGGAGATAAAATCACACCAATTGAAATGACAAGTACTGCTCAGAGGCTAGAAAATTAATTTTGGAAAAGACTTTTGAGGTTTTTAATTTGATTTCTGAAACATTGTAAAACTTCAGAAATTTTAGAAATAACTGAGAATTGGTGTTAAATATAATACCCTGAAACTTAGGTTTGTAAAACACTTTTATATTTAAGTATTTTGAATAATACTGCTTCACAGTGCGTGTCAGATGCCCAGCACAACCTTGGCATTGGTTAGCTCATACTTTTTCCAAAGACACAAAAATACGGATATCAAGCACAGAGAAGCAGAAACCCTGAACTACAGCTGTAAATACCTTAGAAAACTATTTCCTTGTTTGATTTGGGTTGAATCAGGGAACTGAAGGGCTGGGATGTGGCACTGTCAAGAAATGGATCTGGTTTTGGCAGGTATAAATAGCAATGTGCTTACATAAACCAAAAAAAAAAAAAGAGAAATTAAAAGGATATGGAGGAGAAATGCATTCTCCTTCTCCTTCTCTACACAAAAAAGCTCAAAAACAAATGGCCACCCATCCTATGGTGTATAGCAGTGTATCTCTGAGTGATAAATTAATTTCTTTCAGTGTAACAGCCAGAATAAAACAGTTGGGAGGTTCTGGCTTGCCTTGACTCACAGCTGAACTTGATTTTTTTTTCTGGCAAAACAGCAAAAAAGTGGTTTGTGTTGACTCAAAACATTACATCAAACTGAAATTAAGTCCTCCCTCCATCCATTTCTCCTGCATTGTAAAAAATGTTGAGAATAATTTGAAATTCATCTTGTTTATTAAGATACTAAATCCAAAGTATGCCTGGTTGTGAAGAAAAAACCCCTCAATGATAGACACAGAACTGAAAATTAAATTTTACACATCTGAGATCCAAGTCAAGTGACTGGACAAGTTTCAATAGCGCTTCATCAACTATATTTTAAAGTAGCGTAACAAATATGAAACATCACAGAGAAGTTGCTTTTATTACCCCCTTCAATTTTTCTACTAAAACAATAAAACTCATAGGAAAAATATAATGAGGAAGCTTGTAAGGACTTGGTTTTGAAGGGTAAAAGCAGAGTAAGTGTTCTATCAAGTCATGCATCCACTTTTCCTGCCCTCCACAGTGACATACACAGACATTGGTCAAAATTCTCTTTATTTGTTCAAATCTGTAAAACCAAAAGATTCCTTTAATGTATACGTTACCCACCTTGTAGTGAAAAAAACCTTGGTATTTGCTCCTCTGTGTAAGATTCTTAATGTATATGTTACTTAATCAGTCGGCAGTGCTGTAGGGACTTCAAATGCTAAAGGTGGTAGGTTCTTTCCATCTCAAAGAAGCACAAAATAATTTTATTTCCTCAGGACCAAAATGCTTTTGCTTAGCCAAGGTAAAAGAGAGATACATTTGTGAGGTGGGGACAGTACAAATTGATAGACAGGAAGGAAAGACAGATGGCCAAAAAGTCATTTCAACTATTTGAAAGACCTGTGGAAAACCATAGCACTTAGTGAATGCTAAAGCGTGCAGGTGTTTAATTTTTTTATTTTCTTACTTTCTGGCGGCTCTCTTTCAATGCCAATTTCAGTTCTTTCACTGATGATCATGATTACAGGACTGGATAATATCTGTGGACTGTATCTGAGGCATTGTGAAAGGGAAACTATGTTATATCAATAGTAACAGCAGTGACTATATCTAGGTAAAATATTTGTTTCTCTTAAAAATTAAACTTTTTTTTCTTCTATGTCATTAAGAACCTTGAATTTCTGAGGTAAATGAATTAATATTTCTTAATTTTATTATGTCTCAATTATAAAAGACATTGATTGACATTTATTTAAAAAGAGAAATAATTTTTGACCCACACCTAGCTTTTACTTATGGTATAAGTATTTCTCATTTTTTCTACTGTTGTTCTATATGTGTTTAAGTGTCAACTACAAATGAAAAACGCTCAATTTAGAAACCAGAAAGAAGTCAAATGCCCAATTTTAGACAATTTCTGATGCTACTGTAGACACACTGTCCAGGCATTATGAGCTGTTCTGTTGTCACTTATTCTGCTATTGTTGGCAGTAAAAGTTTTTGCTTGCAAACTAAAGTCCTGCTTGACTTTGTGTGTTTGCTAGAAAGTTTTAGTCTCTGCATGTAAGCCCTTCATAAATTATCCTGTATTTCTGCCCGTGCTTAAAATCACACTAAAGTATTCTTGCTCATGTTTCATGTCCCTTTGCCTTATTTAAGTTTATGTACCCAAAATTGAGTTTTCTCTGTTCACTGAGGCTCACCTCAGGATACTTTGGTACAAACCCTCGCACCTAAAAATCCTCCCTAGGACAAGGCAAGCATAGCAGCACCAGAGTAGGTAAACTGGAGTTGTTTTGCTTTGAGACAGTCAGATCAGCAGTCCCTGAGAAACTGCAATATTTCTTACTAATGGGCAATTCCCAAAGTATGGATGATACTCAGTAGTGTCATTTTATTGATGTGCCAGGGGAGCTGAAGAAACCACACTTCCTTCTGGGGCAAATTTTAAAAATCACAAATCACTTATTTCTACTCCAATATGTTTACGGGATGTATTAACTGCTCCGAGAGTTGAACTAAGTCAGAAATGAACATTGCTGAAAAATCTCATGTGTTGTTTTTTTTTAAATAAGATGGAAATTTTTCATCATTGGAAGAGAAGCAAACAAAATAGGAAATGTTAAAGCAACAGATTTGTTCCTTCTTCTTCGAACACTCCAGCTAGGGGTTGGTCTCTTCTCCCAGGCAACTATCAGTAAGACAAGAAGGCATGGTCTTAAGCTGTGCCAGAGGAGGTTTAGGTTATATATTTGGAAGAAATTTTTTACAGAGAGGGTAATCAGACATTGGAATGGGCTGCCCAGGGAAGTGGTGGATTCCTTGTCCCTGGAGGTTTTTAAGATGAGACTGGATGTGGCACTTAGTGCCAAGGTCTAGTAACCATGGTAGTAGTGGACCAAGGACTGGACTTGATAATCTCAAATGTCCCTTCCAACCCGGCTGATTCTATGATTCTATGATTCTAGGACTTCAGCCAGGAACAAAGTACATCATTATCTGCAGTATAATAATAACTATTATTTTCAATAATAAACCTATCAACCTAAAATAAGCACATTGGGCCACTTAGTTGATTTTACAAAGAGAAGATCTTCTCTATTTAGCAATGGTTACTCCTCTAATACATTGCAATTTTTTCTGTGCAATTGCAAATGTCTTACTGAAGAGATTGCAAATCTTATGAGTGGATTTTTTTCAAATGTGTTTGTGAACGATATGATTTTCATCATGATATCTTCTGCAAAAGCTGAGATAAGATAAGAAAATTGTCTCTTGGGGCTTAATTTTCTTTTTTTTTTTAAACTGTAGAAATCTGTTGTCAATAAACCCCATAAAATAAAAGACAAAAGCAACAACCTATTGTGCAACTATGTTAAAAGTCGGTCAGTTCTGAGCAAATATGTGCTTCTTTTAAACTGAGCCTAGTTTGGCTGGGAGCTGCAAATGCCGTGTGTTGGATGTGTTTTGCATATTGTGGATATAAAATTAGAAGAAACACAGAAGTAGCAATTAAGCTTGAGATTCTTCTCATTTTTAATTTATATACTTGTGATCTGCAGACTACCACTGGCATCCATGAACACAGTGAACATGACCATATTGTGTTGCTAGTGCTTTTAATTGATATTTGACTGGAAATGTGAAGGTTATTCAGTGAGCATCCTCTGGGTGACAGTGGTTTGTGGTGCTGAAAGTTTGAGTACTGCTGGTTTAAATCCATATCTTTTGATTATTATATTCATAATGTAGTCAAAACATCTTTGTGATGCAAAAGACTAAGCAGAGTTTGAGCATCCAAGATGAAGAGTTAGTTGCTAAGTTTGGCTTCCAACAGACAAAAGAGATACAGAGACGTGAAGATTGTGAAGACAAATGACTGTGCAAATTACAGGAGAGAAGAAATTTGGGGTTGAGAGGTGGTCTGTTTTTGAGAAATATTAGTTGCTCAGCATAGATGAGAAAGTTTTAAGTAGAATTAGTTACATAACATTACAATACCGTGTGATTTAGTATGTTGCTTGCTTAGCATGAGCAGCTGGATTTGCTGAACCCTTGTGCCACAAGCTGCAAACTCATACCAAGACCTGTTGTCAGCTGGAATAGAGTTAATTTCCTGATGTTTCGGTTGTTGTTAAACAATGTTTACCCCAAGTCTGGGGCTTTTTTAACTTCCCATGCTCTACCAACAAGCAAGTGCACTGGAAACACAAACCAGAAGACAAGGAGACTACAGCTGTCAGCAGAAACTGTAACTCAACACGGTAAGAACAGAGATTTCTCTGTATTTCTATCTGTATGGGCACAGAGAAAGAAACCCAAGAGGTGTCAGAGGACCCTAGACCAGAAATCACCACTGGACCAACAGCACGTGAAGGGCAGGTGCAAAGTCATCAGGGTGTAACTGTGAGGGGATTCCTTTGTTCTGTGCCCCAGCTCAAGCTGACCTGCTGCTGTACTACTCTATTACATTATTTAGTTTGATAAATCTGACTCCTGAGATTCCACTATGGGAGACCTGAGGCTGAGCCTGAAGAAGGAGAAAGCTGTGACTCCTTGAATGGTGTGAGAACGCTCAGGCAGCATCTACTCTTTTAACAGTGTTCACTCTTTCATACAAATAATTAACCTCAGCCTCAGGCCAGAAATCTTCCAACTGTAATTTCACAAACTTGTACTGCAAGACTAAAAAGGTAAAAACAACAAGATCATTAGAGTTTTTTGGGGCAGCACACGGGATCTGCTCATTTAGACCAAAGACGGATCAGAACTGAGCTGTGGGACTCAGACACAGCCTCTTCTAGAGACAGTTGTGGCTGATAAAATCAAGCATTTAAAACAGGACCTAGTGCCAAGTTTTTTATCAGGATGGTTCACTGCACAATGCCATGAAAGGCAGGCTATGTGTGACTATATGCACAAGGCCAGATATCAGCCTTGCTGCTACCAAAATCTTTCTAGCTAAATACAATAATAACCTACAGCTTTTTCAGTATTGGAGGCCTTCAAGATCAGGCTAAGAAAATAACTGTGTCGTTAACTATAGCTGATCCTTCCTGTGGACAAGTACAGAGATCACCTGTTAGAGCTGGACTGTTCACTGATATCCTCTATATACTTGGTTTTTACAAGGTCTGAATTAGGCTTTCTATGTGAAAGAACTCCTACAAAAAAACCAAAACAAAATGAAACAAACAAAAATCAACCAACCAACCAAACAACAACAACAAAAAAGACCCTCCACCACCAACAAAAAGACAACAACAAAAACCAGCAAGACAGGGACAGGAAGGGGAAAAATTTCCTTCTTTCTTTTCTTTTTCTTTTTGTGGGGAGGAAAAACAGCAAGGTGAATTTAAAAGCAAAAAAAAAAGAGAAAAAAAAAAAAAAGATGATTGGATAAAACCACATCTCTTTATTAGAACCATACCCTCTGCCAGAACTGTACTTTAAAGCACCTGGATCATCTTTGTTTTCACAATATAATTACATGACTTTATAATTCCCAGTTAACTGTCAGAGTGGAAATATCTTGGTGAAGTCAGATGGACGTTCCTCAGGATGTTCCTCATCATTCCTATGAAAAAAGACCTCTGCATTTCTGCTACACACTGTTTGAATTGGCAGCTGGCTGTATACCCACATAAACGAATCCACAGGGGTATTCTAACATGTGCATGACACCGTTTGTAGTGCATGAGATAAAATCTGCAGTGTGAAAGACTGCCAGAAATGCGATGATAAAAACCATCTGTTTTTGCACATGTTACTTCACTGAGTACTTCGAATATTCCTCTTTCGATGGAGGTTTATTGAAGATGAAGCAATGAGGGATTTTCTGTGTCTTGGTAGGAGATTTATGTAAAATAATACATATAATATTGTGTGCAAGTACGTGGTGGAACTGTGTAAAGGAGGACAGAACCAGACCCTTCTCAGTGGTGTCCAGTGAAGGATAAGAGGCAATGGACACAAACTGAAATACAAGAAATTCTACTTAAATATAAAAACACCTGGCCACCCAACTGGGCAGGGGAGTGGACTGCACAGAGAGTCCGTGAAGCCTCCATCCATGGAGATACTCAAAACCCACCCTGAATGGCCTGCAAGGGGATTGAACCAGAGTTGGACTATGGGGTTGTGGACAATGGCCTGAGATTACCACATCCAGAGGTCCCCTCCAGTCTCAGTATGCGTGGGTTCTCTGAAATTTGCAGGATCCCAGGATCATGTTTCAAGAGGCTGTGAATGCTCTACATCCCTCTCTGAAAATGACAGAAATTGTGCTGTTCCTAACTTGTTCTAGATCTGGTTCTCAGGGCTCCATTCACAAAGCCAGCATGGGCTTAGGAAGGGCAGGTCCTGTCTGACCAACCTGATCTCCTTTTATGATCAGGTGACTCACCTGATGGATGAGGGGAAAGCTGTGGATGTGTCTACCTGGACTTCAGTAAAGCCTTCGACATCATCTCCCACAGCATACTCTCGGAAAAGCTGGCAGGCCATGGCTTGGACAGGGGCACTCTGTGCTGGGTTAGGAACTGGCTGATGACTGGGCCCAAAGAGTGGTGGTGAACAGTGCTGCATCCAGTTGGTGGCCGGTCACTAGTGGTGTCCCCCAGGGATCAGTTTTGGGTCCAGTCCTGTTTAAAATCTTTATGGATGATCTGGATGAGGGGATCAAATGTACTATGACCAAAATTGCAGATTATACCAAGTTGGGGGGCAGTGTTAATCTGCTGGAAGGCAGGAGGGCTCTGCAGAGGGACCTGGACAAGCTGGAGAGATGGTCTGATTCCAATGGGATGAGGTTCAACAAGGCCAGGTGCTAGGTCCTGCACTTTGGCCACAACAACCCCCTGCGGTGCTACAGGTTGGGGACAGAGTGGCTGGAGAGCAGCCAGGCAGAAAGGGACCTGGGAGTTTGGATTGACAGGAAGCTGAACACGAGCCAGCAGGTGGCCAGGTGGCCAAGAAGGCCAATGGCATCCTGGCCTGGATCAGGAACAGCGTGGCCAACGGGACCAGGGAAGTGGTTCTTCCCCTGTACTCAGCACTGGTGAGGCCACACCTGGAGTGCTGTGTCCAGTTCTGGGCCCCTCAGTTCAGGAAGGATATTGAGGTGCTGGAGCAGGTCCAGAGAACAGCAGTGAGGCTGATGAAGGGACTCGACTACAAGTCCTATGAGGAGAGGCTGAGGGAGCTGAGATTGTTTAGCCTGGAGAAGAGGAGGCTCAAGGGACACCTCATCACTCTCTACAACTATGTGAGAGGATGTTGTAGCCAGGTGCTGGTTGGTCTCTTCTCTCAGGCAACCAGCAGTAGGACAAGAGGGCATGGTCTTAAGCTGTGCCAGAGGAGGTTTAGGTTGGATATTAGGAAGAAATTTTTTACAGAGAGGGTAATCAGACATTGGAATGGGCTGCCCAGGGAAGTGGTGGATTCCTTGTCCCTGGAGGTTTTTAAGATGAGACTGGATGTGGCATTTAGTACCATGGTCTAGTAACCATGGAGGTAGTGGAACAAGGATTGGACTTGATGATCTCAGAGGTGTTTTCCAACCTGGTTGATTCTGTGATTCCATGATCTCTGAAACTGAGCTTTAATGTTCAGTTCCTTTTCTGTTTTTAAGCGACTTATATTCGGATTTCGGGTTATTCCAGATGCTTTCAGTGCCAGAATCATGCTTTGCCCCACCAGATATTTTGTTTGCTTTCCTCTTCCTTTCTGAAAATGTCAAGGTTTAACGCGCAAGCACAGTAACCATATCTGTGGAATGTATTACTATTACCATTATTATTATTTTAATAGCACATTGCTTAACAGTAGTATTCTTCTGTAGTCTTCCCCTATTTATTTGTCTAGAGGCAAGTTGATAGAAATGCCACAAAAAAACGTATAACATTTGTTAAGTTAGGGAGAAAAATCAAATGTCAATATATCATTGGAATTTTTTTGACATTTAACTATTTATCATTAAAATGAAATAATGCCAATTTAAAATGTGTACCAATAATCTGGACATGGATCTACTTTCTTCTGTGAATTTCACCTGTATAGAACAGTAAGAGCTGATCAAACATGAAGAAATAACACTAGTCTGAGCAAATAAGAGCCTGATGCTGTTACCATATTTCTCTTTTTTGCCTCTTTCTCTTTCTACCAATTTTACAATTTTGAGAGACCAGCTGCGGAAGTACTGAGAGAAAATCGAGCTTTGAACTGCTTGAAACGTGAATAAGCATTTGAAAATATGGGTTGTTATCTCAGTTGAGCAAACACACATTTTTGTGGCTAAGACAAGACCTATCTGCTGTAGGAGTTTTGTAAGGTGCTGAAGCCAGTTTTAGGACAGTGAGATAATTCCAATGTAAACAGGTATCTACTAGATTTAATGTGTTAAGATGTCCTCCTGAATCAGAGCATCAGATTCTCTTATCCAAGACAGCTTGAAGCTGGATTTCTCGAACTGGCTTCGTGTTTTCAAGCCATCCTCTCTCACAAGTTATTTTATATAAAGTCAAGCTTTCCAGGGAGAACAGCAACCTACCAGTTAAAAATGTTTCAAGATAAGCTGACCGACTCACAGACATGTAACAGCGTGAGGGGACAGGTGGATTCCCTGCACAAGAAGTACAAAGTGGGAAGAGGAGACAACTGATTCCATCCTTGCATTGGCCTTCAGTGGGACCAATCGTTTGTTTACAGCTGATAATTCCAATGTTTGAAAAAAACTCAGCATTTTTTTGTCTGCTGGAAATTAAGCTGAATGTTTTGGGGTTTATGTTATATCCTACAGAGTATGGTATAAGGACAATGCTAAGAAATATTCCTTTGCTAGAAGATTTAACCCAGCTTTATTGCTGAGTGTAAAACCGAAATCATTACAATTTGGGCTTCACTGAAAACTTTTTGTGTATTAATCATCTGAAATGTATATATCTGTCTTGATTTATTGCTGCATAGGGGTTCAGTTTTTCTTCAATTAAGAATCTCCATAAGAAAAAATGGAGCTGAAAGTTTGCTAATGGACTGGGAATATGCAATTCCCAAACTGCAGTGCTGAGCACATTGGGAAATCACAGCTTTCTGGTAAGTCACTTAGTACCTTTTTCTCAGAGGTGAGCAGTGCAGGAAGGCTAGAGGTCTGGTCCCTGTGAGCAAGTGTTAACTCAGGTTTTATCAACTTTGTGAGGAGCAGGACCTCCTCAAAACTGAAAAGATTTAGGAATCTCTGTTGCTCATTTTCAAGTCTCCTCCACAGGAATCAAAAGCAGGTCAGTAAGAGACATAAGACACACAATTAAATTACTAGTGCTATTCATTCTGCCCAGTATTGTGGTGGTGTAAATCACTCTATTTATGCAGATTATTACTATTCTTCCTTATTTTTCAAATAATTTGGTACTTCCAAATAATCATCAATCTGATTCCCACAATTTCTCCTGCTACTCGCTCTATCTCACTTACAAATCCCAGCTGAAGTGTTCATACTGTTTTCTCATTTGCAGTCTATTTTTTTGCCTAGAACCTCTTGTGTCCTACAACTGCACAACAGAAGGACTCAGGATTGGCCACAAAATTGTGCTGTAGCATGTAGGTTTTGTTATAAAATTTAGCATATAAAATCAAATACTTGCTTCTCTTAGTTAAGAAAAAAGGCTGAGGAGGAATCATAAGTTAATTTAAGCAGATGCAATGGGGACTTCCCTGGAAGTGTAAACAACCTGTCTTTTAAGAAATAACAAATAAGGAGAAGACTGGATTAGTTTCAATTTTTTCTAATGGGATTCTTATCATTGTTGAATATGAGACAAGAGTGTGACTACTTGACTTTCAGTGCCGCATCACCCGGCTTATGCGCCCTTGGCAGAAATCTTTACCTGACTTACCTGACACAGAGAAACCTCTAAAGCTTTACTGGAACTCAGACACACAGACAACCATCCTGCCACCCTCTCCTGCATTTATCCTCTTCCTCCTTATTCCCCCTTCACCCTTCCCCATCCACTCCACTCTTCAACCACCACCACCCTGCCCCTACACTTCCCCAATTTTCTGTACTCCACCTGGAAATCACATAAAGATTCTGTTTTCCAAGTAGGTTTTGATACATGTTGCATAAGCCTCATTGACAAAGTAATAGGCTTAGTAATTGAATTATCAGATGAATGGTGTATGATGGCCTGAGATTACCACATCCAGTGACATCACCTGTCTGGATTGGGTGGGGCCTTAGACTTGTTTCTTGTTTTTATGAAATATTGTGATTATCTGACTAGTCACACAAGGTAAAAAACTTGAGTGCAAACAGTGGTAACTAGCAGGCCTAGAAAGAAATCATGGTGAAAGAGTCTTTCAAAACTAAACTCTTTCGGTTTAGTTTTCAGACTGAGGACACTGTTTTAACAAAGTGTTTGGGGTTTTTTTTTCATTGCTGTTTCTCTTCTCTTTTAAGAAACAGCATCAAAATCAGAGCCCTAGACAAAGTAATTTTATTTGTAGGTGATTTGTTTGGTGTTTTTTTCATGTGTGTTTGTTTTGAAGATTTTTGGCCAAAATCAAGAGTTCGACTAAATAAATAAAATAAGTTATTAAAAAATAACTGCTTTTGTCTTGGTGCCACTGCCATGCCTTACTGGTTGTTTGCTTTCCTACATGCCTCCCACTTTCCAGCAGTGTTGGGCTTTGCTTTGCAGATGTTCTGTGGCTGGGGAATGGAGTGACACCACCCCCACTGCTGCCCAACCCCTCACCAGCAGGTTATACTGTGGAAATCATCAACCCAGGCTGCAGTGCAGAGGGGAGAGAGGAGAAGGAGGAGGTTGGGGACATCACAGCCACATTCCAAGTGGAAATATTTGTGCACTGGCCAAAATGGTCATGCTCTGTGCTCCTCTGCAGCGAGTCAGAGATTTTCTAGGCAAAGAATCGGTGGTGCAGATCCAGCCCTGCAATTACATTTGTGCTTCATTTTATGCACAACAACGTGTCCGTAAACTCAAAGGCTTGAAATTAATTATGTGTAAAACTGTGTTTGGGAAGATTTAGATTGTCGCAATGGAAAAATTAATTGTAGATATGTGAAGCCTTAGAAACTTCCAGACCCACCCATATGATAACAAATCACAGGCATTAGCCATGAATTTTCAGTCATTGCAGCAATAAGAGAAGACATTATTCAGACTGTGGTCACTTGATAAATTACGCCAGAACTTTCAATAGAGCTAAGTGTCTGTCTAGAGACTATCATTATGGTAAACAGTACAAAACTGGACAGCTACAATGCTTCATTCCTTTCCTATGTCACAGTCACTTAATCCTTGCCAATAAATGTATTTTCTTTTTTTCATTATCTTCTATTGCTAAGCCTCAAACTGGAAGCCTCTTCTCCACACATTTCAACATGTAGAATTTATGTCATCAGATAATTCTCTGGGCTGGCCAGATTTGATGAATTTCAGGTATTGCAAAGACTAACGGGCCTGTGGGGAGAGAGAATACCTTGCCAGGTGTGCAAAAAGTTAAGAGATGGAGGAAGGAAAAAACTCCTAAATGGAGGGAGTAACTTTGGCAGATTTGCTAAAGCATCTGTTGTCACTACGTCTATTTTCATACTTCCTACTCCTGGATAGATTAGAAAAGAAGAAGTACAAGAGCAAAACACTTCCTCCCAACTTTGTTTTCTGTGTTTTGGGATAAAAGCAACACTCTGAATTTTGGGGGAAAACAATGAGTCAGAATTAGTTTTATTAACTTTCTTGATCAGGCAAATTAAAAGAGGGGTTTGGTATTTTCTGTCAATTTAATGTATTTTCATAGCTGAAAATTGAAAGACTGGTACAAAAGGGAGTTTAGTTCCCAGTTGAGAACAGTTTACTAAATTTTTTGAGCTCTTCTTTAACTCCAAAACAAGCTTAAGATTCTCATGAGTGAGGCATTACTGAGTAGTGATGAAATTAAAAAAAAAACCATAAAGCACTTGCACATAAGAAATAGCAGCACCTGGTTTGCTACCACAGGAAGCCTTGTCCTGTCCTCCACTTCCTGCTCCTTGTGCAAAAGTGCAGCTGCTCTTCAAAATCTTAAAAGATTCCCTGGAGTTCCTCCTATATTACTACCTTTCATGAGTTCTACTGAGCCTCGTAAATGGAATGAAAATGGTCATTCTTCTGATCCACTGAAGAAATACTCATTTGAATCATCCCCACATAAGAAGTTACATCTCACCATTGACAAATATAAAATAAGTTAAGTGCAAGGTACAAAATCTAGTCCTAGGCTGAAATTATTCAACCAAATACTGAACTAAATGTGGGGTAGTGTCAAAGAGATTGGCAGATGCTTACTTGATAGGACTTTGTCAGAAAATGTCAGGAAATAGAGGTGGAAAAGTCTTTTTTTACTGGGTTTCAGTTCAGTGACTTTACTGCCTGTAAGTTATCAGCACCAACCTTGCTACTTCTGTGTTATATTGTTCTGTCAGGTTTAGTAACTTCTACGAGAGAAGGTAAAGTTTGGAAGGAGACAGGCTATTCAAGGGAGTAGTACTCAATTTCTTTAAACTATA